CAGATGTTTAGTCAATAATGAATTGTGAAAGGAAAGGAACATATGGATACGAGTTAAGTAACTGTCCACCACTGTAACTACAATCATGGCCAAGGAAATCTGACCCTGAAGTGACTACTCAATGAAAGGATATAATAAAAGAACGGCAAAAAAGATCTCCTAGGCAGACTGAAAATAGGAGAACGCTTGCTTGCCAAGCACATAAAGGATCATCAATGACGCCAACTTTCACCTCTGCATTCTTGATTTAGTGCGGGACGATTGTCTCTGTATGGTCACTTGGATGTAGCACAACATATGCATTGATCATATTTTTGGCTAGCACGAACAGAGAGACTTACCATGCCAGGCATAAAACTTTGAGTCACGACAATTCCAAACTGGACCTATTTCTCTTTTCCGTGTGAAACGCTCTGGACTTTGCCGGCAATTGCCAAAATTACTCCTTTGTATCTATCTAATATCCATCTAAATTGTCATAGTCGAAGTACAGTGCTGTTTTACTGAGGCATTCAGTTTTGCATGATTCGTGTTTGCCTAGCTTCCCCTTTTATTGATCTTCGCATCTTTGAGCCACACAAGTTGCGTGGAATGTTGCTTTGCGTCCTTGAATCGTGGTTTGACCGTATTGTCCAGTGGTCTTGCCAGTACCGTCATCGACATGCATGTACATCCGCCAACGTCCTTCACAGCTGAGACTTTCAGCTCGTGCTTGTCTTGGTTGCGCTCACCTTGCCCTCCTCGTGTTATTTCTATAACTTAGAACCTTCCAAGTTGGAAGGCTGTTGGAGTGCGCATCCTAGATGTCTAGATCTGTTAGTCAGTTAGTTGTAGAACGTCAGTACCGCCGGTCAGTGTCGTGCAATGTTATCGCTTGAGCTGATTGTTTTGTAACTGGTGGTGTTAGTGGACATTATAGTGTAACTTGTAGTTTCTTGGTCCTTTTTTCTTTACTGTAAATTTACCCTTGGCTCCCCATCCGAGTCCATTCTCGCATCTACCTATCCATCCATCCATCCATCCATTCATCCATCCATTCATCCATCCATCCATCCATCCATCCATCTATCTATCTTTTCTTTCTTTCTCGATCTCTCTTTTTTGATTTTACGATATTTATTGGTGTACAGGTATAAGTTGTCAAGACCAAAGGCAGCTCACCAATGGAGATAGCACATCGACAGGCCAACAATTTGGTAGTACAGTAACATATCGATGTCATACAGGCTTCTACATGGTGGGTTCTGTTACTGCACAATGCATGTCCAACAAAAGGTGGTCTCATAATACACCCACTTGTTTACGTAAGTACAAAATCATTTTGTATTAGGTACAGTTTGATGGATTTTTCATCCCAAAACCTTTCAGATATGTAGCACAGTCCAAATACGGATTTGTATATTATGTGTTAAGCAGAGGTGCTACTTATTAGCAGAGGCATACCCTATGATCAGTACTAATCAACTTGCAACTATGCTTTTTTAAATCATCACAATTCATAATCTAAGACTTAGGCATTAGTTTCCGGGTATCGAATCGCATTTTTCCACCATGACTGTGTTATTCCTCTTTCCAAAAAAGTCACCTGTACAGACAAACACAGCACTTCCCCCAGAACGGTGCAGCAACCTGGATGCAGTTTTTAATGCACCTCGTGTTTTTCTGTGCTTCTCTATGGAACAGCCCGGACATGTCCTGATCCAGTCAGTCCTTCATTTGGTCACACCTATTTTCGAAAGGGAATACAGCGTGCCAGTCTGAGACCCTACCTGTACAACGACACTGTCACATGGATATGTAATATCGGCTATTCTGCAACTGGACCTACTACTGCTGTGTGTCAGGCTACTCAAACATGGAGTAACAACCGCCCAGACTGCCAAAGTATGTGTTTTTTTGTTTTTGTTTTTTACCAGAAAGCCACAAATCATCATGGTGCAAACACCGGCAAAAAAAGCACAGAGATGCACATAGCGATGCCAGCCGAAGCAATGGAGGCGGAGCAAGAGCAGCTAAACCGACTAAGGGTCTCGACATCCACACTGCTCATACGCGCCAAACAGAAAAATACTAAATTAAAACAAAATGAATAGGATCACTACAGAGCAAATGAGAAATATGGGCGACGGCACAGTCACACAGCGTGCAAAATCGGAAGGAAAGTTTAGGAGCAGACACACATACATTGGCAAGTACACAGCAGCAGGAATCCGGCATACACACATGTGAACACATGCATGCAGACACACACACACTCTCTCTCTCTCTCTCTCTCACACACACACACACACACACGTGCATACCTCCACAAGACTGAGTCCTTAGGGATGTGAGGGTGGGGTAATGTACCCTGCTTAATTAATAAAACCCGGCTAGCCATGACTAGGTGATCCGGAACTGCTGCACAAAGACACACACACACACACACACACACACACACATGCACCTGAACACACATTCGTGCACACACATGCACACACGCATGCACAAACACACACACACACCACAAACACACACACACACACACACACACACACACACACACATACACACACACACCTTGACCTTGACCTTGATACACGTTGCCTTGATAGGTTACACGGTCCCCGTCAGGGGAGAAGGGTGGAAGAGGCTGAGGAGCAGCACTTCTGATGGCGCACTAGATGGTGACATAGTCGGAACTTCCTTTGGCAAGGGCACTCAAAAGGGAAGTCGGCCCTTTCCGACACTGTCCTTCGTTTCGTGCGGTCGCACTTGTGTCTGGCCAAGCCGCTGCTGGACTCACACACACACACACACACACACACACACACACACACACACACACACACACACACACACACACACACATGGACACACACTTAATTTAACACACACACACAATAAACATCGCGTGCACACAAACACACACGCACACACACACACACACACACACACACACACACACACACACACACACACAAACACCCACCCACACGCGTTCACACATGTTATAGATAATAGTCCTATCTTGTTCATTACATGTACTTCTTTTTTAACACTGATGTGTGGTTATTCTACATATGTTTCAAACAGGGATAACATGTGGAGATCCTGGTCGACCTGAAAATGGCCGGGCTACAACTGACGGATTTGATTATGGAAAGAGAATAGTATACACATGTGACCTAGGTTATAAGATGCAGAACATACCAGATAATACGCTCATAGTGGAATGTGAAGAAACTGGACAATGGTCTCAACCCCAACCGACATGTCTACGTAAGTGCTGTTATTAAGAGTACATAACCAAGAGTGTACAAGTCGATGCCCCCCCCCCCCCCGCCCACGCCGGATTTTTTCATGATGGAAGTGTTTCGCGGCCATTAGATTCAATGATGCTATCATACGAAGCTAGATCAAAGGCCAAAAAATGTGTACATCGCAGCTATGGTAGTCAAAGGAGAACAAAGGACAGCATGAGACTCTTAATCTCAGGGGTCGTGGGTTCGAGCCCCATGTTGGGCGCCAAATGTCGTCGCAAGAGACGATCTGCCCCTTCTATGCTCTCGCCACACCACACATGCAAGAAGACTGGTACATTGGTTTGTTCTCTGTTGGAGAGATATCTTTTCCTAAACCTCACTTCCGGAGCCGACGGGAGAACTCATAACTAACAACTAACACTGACAACTAAACAACTGACAACTGACACCGAGAAAAGACGAGACAACAGAATATAATAGTGAAGGCGTACAACGGGGACAAGACGAGCAATTGTGTACACAACGGGGACAGAAGACGGTGCAACCGCATGTACGCAGGAGTCAAAAACAGCGCGGCAGCATGGACCACGGCTCAGCAGCATGTACAACAAAGAGACACAAAAGCAGCAGCATGTACGACAAAGAGCTACACGTGCAACCGCTTGTACAACGAAGAGACACAAGCGCAGCCACATGTACAACACCTCCTTTTAGTTCGTCTCATTTTGCCCCGAGCTGTTTTCATGCATAGTGCTTATGACGCTCATCATTCGCTCCCTTGTGACTGGACAGTTCTGCCCGTTTGGTTTTAGCGAATTAAAATAAAGAAAACACAACAACAACTTGTCCATTTGCTGATAACATTACCGCCTTGCTTTTTGCTATTATAAGCACACTATGTCACTCTCATCGGTACCTAGTTGCCTGAGCTCAACAAGTCCAGCAAGTTCTGCAAGTCTGAGTTTGAAAAACTATGAAACTTGCTTATACAGTCTTCAAGCAGATGTGAACTGCTGTGTTGCTAGACGATGTCTGAATCAGGGCACTGGTTGGACGTTTCGTATTTGGAAGGGATTCGGAACACATCTTGGGAGGTAGAGTTATCATTATGCTAGTTCCAGTTTTCATGTATATTATTTATTCTGTACAGTACTACTAAATGAAAACCGATCATACCAGTTCACATCCAAGTGTGCACAGGTCTGGGCCTTCACAGCTCTCAGTATGACATTGACTAACATGATTGGATTTCTAGTATCAGACACAGGTCTGGGGCTGCACAGCTCCCAGCATGACATTCACTAACATGATTGGATTTCTAGTATCAGACACAGGTCTGGGGCTGCACAGCTCCCAGTATGACATTCACTAACATGATCGGATTTCTAGTATCAGACACAGGTCGGCTTAGGCTGAAACCATTGTAAATGCCCAGCTATGGCCTTGGAAAATACGCTATGTTTGTTGCAAGTTAAAGAACGGTTCGAGTCCCGGTGGTGTGACTGATGATTTTTCTTTCTTTCTTTCATATCTGGCTTTCAAGTATTGAGTTTCGGAGAGAAAAGAGCAGTACGTGGCATGTGGCCTCTTATTTCCTAAAAACTTTGAAATTCTCCATGAAGTCCAAATTTGAAATTTAAAAGAACGGGAATTTGATCTTTTCGTTCGTTGCAGCCCGTCAATGTCCTGTACCAGGAACACCAACATCTGGACAGTATTATGTATACCGGCAAAGATACCGGCAAAGGCAATATGTCAGGAGAGGTCCTTTCCAATATGGTGACATTGTTAAATGGGTGTGTGATACAGGATTCACAGGGAATACCAGTGCTGATTGTCGAGCAGATGGTACATGGAGCAAGAACACACCAACCTGTACACGTACGTATACTACATACTCTTCTATGTAGTGGAACTGACGAAGAATTAAAAGGTTTTTTTCTGACGCAGTGTTTGTGTAACGCAGGAATATATGCCTGGAGCAGCCTGACGGCAATATTATGAATTGACCTTTCTCGAAAGGGTTATGAATACTTATTCGCACACTTGTGCATAAGCATCAGATAGTATGAAATCAGCCACCGCAGCCTGATGATTGCCTCTTTTTGCCCAAAACGTGAAGTACTTGAAGTAGCAGCAAGATTAATTCAAATTTGTCGATTTGCCCTTATTCTTGTGCCTCACTGTTTAAAAAAGCGACTCAAGAAAGCATGATCATGATGATGTATCATAGCAGCTTAATAGCGTATTTAGCAAGTAAACAGTCAGAAAAAATCATAACCATGAAGTCCGAAGGAATGTTCATTAACTCTGCTGGAATGACGGCTACTCCAACACTTAGTGGTAGGAGCATTGCTGGCCAAACTCAAAGCTCCCTTGTTTGATTCCTGATGGTGGCAGTCATTCTTTTCTTCCTTTTTTCAACTCTATCGAACTTTACAATATAGACATAATATTATTATTTTGTTGACTCTATTGGTACATGATCTACAGGTATAAGCTGTCCTGACCCTAGTGCACCTACCAATGGTGACTACACAGTGACTGGCTTGAAGTACGAGGATACAGTTACGTACACCTGCAGACTTGGCTACGACATGCAAAATCATCCAAATTCTTCTCTTACCGGGGTGTGTATGGCCAATATGATGTGGTCCCGCACAAAACCCACATGCGAGAGTAAGTACATTATGTTGCATCAGTAGACTGTAATGTGATAACTGAATAAGAACAAATTCCGGAAATCCGGGTGATTGTTATTCTGCAGGCAACAGTGGGTTTGAACTGCAAAACGTGACCAGCGAATAAAGCGTGTTCCTAAAAGATTTACACTAGGTTGGCTTATCCTTGGCAACATCACTTGCTTACGACGTGTGATCTTTGACTTTGTTTTTGACAGTATGTACACTGTGCATGGTACTATACTACAAACATGTTGTTACTGTATCTGCACTGCACTACCATGCCGCTATGATTGTTTTGTATTGTATTTTATTATTTTACTTGGGCATTCCCAACAGACCCTAAGGTCTTCTTCTTACAGGGTGCCCAAGATGAATGAAATTGTTAAGTTCCTGGCGAAATGAATTGGGGATATGATTTTTGCGAAGGGATCCGGGAAGCGTATTAAAGCGGTCAGCACCAAGGAATGAAATAGATCTGTATCCAGCTTGAGCTTGCACAATGGGTAAGGAAAGGGAATAATGGACTTGGCCACGGGTTACTCTATCTGTGTGAGCGCAGTCACGGCGAAGGGAGAACATGTCAGAGAGGAGTGAACTGCAGATATTGTGGATGCAACGGAACACGAAGAATACGGACTTAGCATGATATATTTTGTGTAAGCTAATTATGTGGTATCGCTCAAGCAAGTATGATGTCCGCGTGAATGTGTCATGTTCAAGTATGCATCGAAGTGCTCTCTTACTTATGCGTAGCAGCTGATCTCTCACGTTGTCAGCGAGGCAGTGGACGTAGGCAGTGCTGGCGTACTCGAGCTTGCTCTGGACTAGTTTCTTTCCGATGTCTTCCCTGAGGGAGTTAACGTGGGCACTGAAATTTTAACTTGAAACGAGAGTCAGTCCCAGATACTTAACTTCGTCAGACGGGGCATTAACAGTCGAACCACAGACAATGCTCAGGTTAGGTGGAGGATGTGAGCGTCTCCTGTGGATCAGTAGTACTTGGCTCTTGCTGGAGTTCAGGAGCCGGTCGCAATCTGTGATGTGCTGCGTCACCACTGAAAAATATTCTTCTAAGTAAGACATGAGAATTCGTGGACACTTTCCAGAGGCATACAGGGTTGTGTCGTTTGCATAAAGAAGGCATTGGGAACGCAATGGCAGAGTGGGGACAAGTCAAGTGTAGATGCTGAAGAGGGTAGGGCCTAGGACGGAACCCTGGGGAACGCCCCTAGTGCAGTACAGTCACTTGTGGTTCTGTTCAATTCTACGCGTTGCTGTCGGTGAGACAGATACGACTTGAACCACTCAAGAGCATTTCCACGGATCTTCAGATTGTGAAGGTCATCTATTAGCGTTTGGTGGTGGACGCGGTCAAAGGCTTTGCTCATACCGAGCAGCAGTACGGCCGTATAGTCTCCGGTATCCATGCTTCTCTGCCAGTTATTGATGGCAAGTGTTAGAAGGTCCTCAGTACTGTGGCTCCGCCTGTATGCAAACTGTTCATTTGGAATTGCTCCGGGTGTGATGTCCAGATGATCGTGAAGCTGCTGGAGCACTAGCGATTCCAATACTTTGGAGATAATGGGCAGTAGCGAGACTGGGCGATAGTTGGAACTGTCGTAGGGGTCGCCTTTCTTAAACACTGGACACACAGACGCTAGTTTGTAGGCTGACGGTACCTTTCCGCTAGACAATGACTAGTTGAAGATGGAAGTTAAGGAATTGGCCAGCTCGGCGGCATGGTGTTTCAAGATGTAAGCTGGTATGCGATCTGATCCAGATGCTTTCGTGGTATTCAATCGTTCGAGAATCTTCGTTACTGCTGCCGCTGTAACGGGTTGGAACTCGAGAAGGCAGTTGTCTAAACAGTCGTCTGCCGGAGTGTCTGGGGTCGTAAGAGCAGCGCTGTGTTCATCGTGGACGATATTGCCTAGGGTATCTGACAAAGATGAGAGGGAGGCTTTCGGTGTGTGGTGGGATTTTCTCCTTCCAGTTAGTTTATTCAGCACTGCCCTTTGGAGTCTAGGATTTCCTGTAGCGGCACTGAACTTATCTTTGTAGTACACGCTTTTCAGTTTGCGGTTTAGTAAAGTTCCTTGACAACGTATTGCACGATACTGCTGTCGGAGGCGGTCATCCATGGAGTGCTTTATTAAGGCGCGATGGGCTGAGCTTCGTCGATGAAACATCTGTTTCAGCTCTGGGGTGACCCAGGGCTGGGGGTGGGGTTTGGAGTAAGCTGCGCGCTTCTGGGTAATGAATGGTGCAAGATCATCTAGTACTGTCATTACACTTTGTTGCCAGTGGCTTGCCGCTGCATTTAGAGTATAACCGCCGGATACATCTGAGGGGTCAAGGATGTGTGTGAGAGCTGCGGACGTTACACTACAGTCAAGGTGAGCCAGGCTAGGTTGGCGTCTTCGAGAGAATTGCTTGTGTGGCTGTTCAAAGTTGGCTCTACTTACACTGACAAAGAGGCCAATAAGATGGTGGTCAGACAGGCCATCGACGCTGTGAACAAATGTACTATGAAGAGACATGGGAGAGGGAGACGGAGCAGCCGTTGTCATTGTTGTCGGTATGAGTGCAAGGTCTAGGCATGACTGACTAGGAACTCTGGTGGTCTGTAGTATGACGTTTTGTAAGCTGTGGTTAGCGCAGAGGCCTTGTACATAGCGGGCGTTCGGGGTGAGGTGGGACAGAGAGCATGTTGACATTGTAATCACCGAGGAGGAGGATGTCCGGACATGTTGCGGAGGCCATCTGCACGCTATTATCGAGCTCCTCCCAGAAATCCACATGGCTGTCGGGAGCGCGGTATACGCAGCTGACGGATAGAAATGGATTCGTTCGGCTATGGGTGTGCAACCCAACGAATATGGTCTCTAGCCTGTCGTTTACTTGACGTTGCCTGTAGTTTGGAGTTGACAGGAGGGCATGCACATCGAAACCACGCCTTGTCAACGACCCGTTCTTTCTCAGTTTTAACGACCACACTCAGCCAAGAACAAAACAACAACGAAACACAACGACACACCAACGCTGATGTGGCATCGCAAATCCCGTACCGGGCCGTGCACGCAGGCACTGGGTTGCAACAGAAAAAAGACGCGCTGCAAGCGTGCCAAGCAGCGAGTGAGTACAGAACGCGTACTAATGCCAGTCATGGCAACGGAAGATAAAATTATGGAGATCGACCCGCGCATGGTTCGATCGAGAGCAGAGTACGAAAAAAGCACACATTCAAAGTTCAAACTGTGCAACAGAAGCAGAAGAGGAAAACGAAAATGAACACTTGTCGTGAAGTGAAGTGCTTCTGTCCAAGGGTGCTTGCACCCGACGGGGTGACAGCGCCCCTAGTCAGACAATACAAGGCAAACGAAATAGAAATTAGCTGAGTCACAGCGCGGGACTCCGAAACGAAAACCGGTGAGTATGTAAATATTAATTGTTTCGTACCTGCTGTACAACGTAACAATTCGTAGCGTAATTTCAAACTAGCACTCGTAGAATTGTAGTGCGAATGTGCCACTCGATTATAGTAACAACGACAAAGAGATACTCTTCTAAACATTTCTCTCCCTTCTCACTGTGCCGAAATTCACAGTGACCAAAAAATTCGAAATTGATTATTGTTCTGAAATAGGCAAACAAGGAGCTACTCACAGAATAGCTTACAAAGACGCACGATTGGGCGGGTGTAGGTCTTGTCGCCCACCTTGACCTTCACAACTCGCACGTGTCCGTCTGGACCAGGGTGCACTTCGGTGACACGACCCATTGGCCAAGTGCCCCGTGGGTTGTCTTGGGATGTCACTAGAACGATGTCGTCGACCTTGAGGTCTGTCTCGGCCGTCCTCCACTTGAGTCGCCGGTTCAGCTCTGGCACGACTTCCTGCATCCATCTCCACCAAAAGTGCAGCACGAGTTCTTGCACTACACGCCAGCGTTGCCGAGGGTTGAACTCGCTCTCGTCCACTCCTGCAGGTGCGAACCGAGTACCGATTTGGCCATACATGAAATGATTGGGCGTTAGCGGAGTTGGGTCACGACCATCTGCCGACACGTAGGACAGTGGCCGTGAGTTCATGAGCGCCTCCGCGCCGACGATAGCAGACAATGGCTCCTCGTCTGTGACCTCCGCGTTCTTCAGAATCGCCGAGATAGCACGCTTTGCCGATTTCACTAACGCCTCATGCACTCCGCCGAAATGTGGTGCTGCTGGAGGGTTGAAACGCCAGCTAGTCTGCTGATCCGCTGTCTGCCGCTGAATCGCCTCTGCATCAAGCTGCTTGACTAGCTGAGCAAGCTCATTGGTGGCGCCGACGAAATTCGTGCCATTGTCGGAGATGACGTCGATCGGTACTCCCCGTCGATTGGTGAAGCGTACGTACGCCTGCAGGAACGAGTCCGTTGTCAACGCGTATGACAGCTCGAGATGCACTGCTCTCGTCTGCAAGCAGGTGAACAAGCACAGGTACCGCTTGTGTTGTGTCTTGCCGCGACCCTGCTTCGTCATAAACGGTCCAGCGTAGTCTACGGAGACTCGGCCGAATGCGCGTAGCGGCAGGCTGACTCGGACCTTAGGTAGTGGCGCCATCACCTGCATTGCCGGCTTCGTACGGTTCCGGGCGCACCTCGCACACTTGGCTTCCCAAGCTCGCACCTCTTCGCGGCCAGCGACGATCCAGTAGCGCGACGAGAGTTCGGCTAGCGTATGGCTGACACCGAACGCGTGATATCCTCGTTCGTGACATGCCTTGACAATCAGCTGTGTCACATGATCCCCTCGTGGTAGGACGATCGGATTGCGTTGTTCTGCAGTCAAGAAGTCTGCATGCTGTAGTCGACCTCCGACGCGTAGAAGGCCAGCGTCGTCAATCATTGGCTTGAGCGAGACCAGCTTGCTGGTTGCAGGGATCGGCTTGCCTGCCTTAACTGCAGCATACTCTGGTAGCGACTGTTGCTGCGCTCGCTTGATGTAGAACTCCTCAGAGTCTCGGAACGCTTGTGGCGATAATTCATCAAACTCTCGTTGTGCGGGTGGTACTGAGCAATTCGTAGCGAATCGCACACACCAAGCATGAACACGGCACATTCGTACCCAGTCGGAGTAGCAGCTTGGCTCTAGACGATTCAGCTCGCTGTGGCATTGGTCGACGGTCACCGCAGTCAGCTCGATGGACTCATCCGTTGGTTGGTTGACTGGGCCGATGCAGGTCCAACCTAATGCCGTCCGACGCGCCACGGGCTCATGGCTGTTACCCGAGCGCTCTTCATACGCCATATGAAGCTCCGGATAGTCGGCACCGATAAGCACGTCAATGTGGCGTTTCGACGGTAGCGGCGGAAACTCAACGTTGGCTAGATGTGCGTACTGCTTTCCCAGGTGGTGCCAGTCTACAACTTCCATGTTGCCTGTTGGCTGCTCGATTGTGCACGCATGGAGAGTCGTCGACGTGGCTTCGTCAACACTTCGCAGAGTGCACGATACTGGGACAGTGTGAATGGTCTCTTGCTGTCCATTCAGCTTGCTGATGGTCAGCGACATACTTGATCCAATCAGGCCGAGTTCTGCCGTAACATTGCTCGCTATGTACGAGCGCGTGCTGGCGTCGTCCAGCAGCGCGTTAACAGTTAGCGACCGCTTGCCGTTGGATAGCTGAACGGGAACTGTCCGAATCGACGTCACCGTCCGTACTCTATTCTCCTCTCCCTTCGTGCTGTTTCCGAGGGAGACAGCACTGAAGTTCTCCGGCTGCATGGCTCCAGTCTCTCCGGAGGCGTGGGATGACGACGCTGGAGGCGGTTGACGGGGCTTACTGTGCAGCAGGCGATGGTGATGCTGCGTGCACCCGTCGATACCGCACTCCCGGTCCCGTGGACAATCCTTGCTCCTATGTCCAGTCGCAAGGCATCTATAGCATGACTTGCTTCGCTTCGCTGCTGCCCAGCGCTGGCTTACAGTTTGTTTCTCAAACTCTGGGCAACGCCAGATCGGGTGCCCGCCGCCATTGCAGCATTGGCATGTGGACCTTGCGGTCGGCACATTGCCAGCGGTGTTTGTAGCTGTCACGAACGTGGTCGTGCGCGGTTGCACAGCGTCGTGAGCAGTTGCCGTCCGAGTCGGCTGATTTCGACTTGTCCCGCTGGTTGACAATTGGCTTCTGACGTGATGCTGCTGGCTGATGCCTTCGATAGTTTCCGTGGCGGCAGCAAGAACTTCTGCCTCGGCATTCAGCCACTCCAGCAGCACCTCGACCGATTCGTCCTTTTGGTGGTGTACTATCCAGCGGCGATACTGGGCCAACAAGTTCACCGGCAGCTTCTGCTGGATCCGCTGGTAGAGAATGCCGGTACCTAGCTCGGTGTGCATACCGGCATCCTTTAACGTCACCACTGCCATGTCGAGCACATCGGTAAAACGCTCCAGGTCCTGGGCTCTACCGGCTCGAATAGGTGGAGATCGTTCCAGCTCTTCCATCCTAACCGCAAGGCGCCGGCGACTCCCACCGAAGCGTCGCTCCAGCCGCCGCAGAGCAGCATCGTATGCTGCTGCCGAGTAGCCGAGACTCTCGATGGCATCCAGTGCCTCACCCGCCACGTACTGTCGGAGCTGCAGCAGCTTGAATTCAGCGGAGAGCGGCTGCTGGTCCACACAAACGCTGAAAGCGGATTTCCAGCGCTCGCATTTTCGCTTCTCTCCGGTGAACACGGCAATTTCGATCCGCTTCAACTTGCTGGCGATGTTGATCTGTGCCGCTGCCGCTGGAGCAGTCCGTGGCGCAGGTCGAGCTGCGGTGCCTCCGACATATGTCGGAACTGGGGCGAATACTGCGGTCCGGGGTGCTTGCATGCCAGCGCTGGGTCTCGCATCGTACTGTGACGCTCCGGCAGAGATGGTGTGCGACGGTCCAGTAGACACAGGTGAGTTGTACACGACTGCACTATTGCTCGCACTCCACTGCGGTTGCTGTTGTTGTTGTTGTTGGTACATGTATGCCTGCTGCGGCCTAGCACTATTGTTGCCATACGTTGCATACATCATACTAGGTGTTTGATCAGCAGGATCGTGGATCAGGAAGGCAGAGCCTTGTTCCTGATTTATAGCGGGAGCGTTGCTGCCCGTGGTCATAGTTGCAAATGACGCTGGCAGCACTGAACTACGTGGCTGGTACTCTGCGGCTGCTGCAGATAAAGCGGTGCATGCATTGCTGTTGATCATATCCGTTTGCGGTGGCGCGTGTGCTGACGCGGTTGCCATGGCAACGGTCGGGAAGGGTTCGGCAGGTTCCCCCACACGCTGACCACTGAACATTACAACACGACTGTCCGGCTCTACTTTCACCCGTTCTCCATAGTCTGCAGCCCTGGGCAACATAACCTGCGCATCGTCCTGGCGACCAAGAAACGGTGCATCTTGGACCGCCGCACGCAGATCTAGAATTTCTCTGCTTTCCTCTCGCACTGACGCCAGTAAAGGCGTTGCCCCTCTCAGTGACGATTGCTTGGGACTGGGAGTCTGCCTGGTCGACGCTGCCAGGCTCGCTCTGCTGCTCCTGATGAGCACACTCCTGGCCAATTCCATGGCATCTGAATCCTGGCCTTCCAGCTGCTTGTACTGCTTTTGGAGACCAGCATGTCTCCTAGAGTCAGTATCCACCACCGCTTCCATGTACTCCATGATGACCTTCTTGGTCTCGTCATACACTGTCGTCAAGTGGCTTCTCCATGCCTTTACGTCATCTTGGTTCGGCACCTCATTCGTTGACTCCACTGTCAAATTTCTCCTCGTATTTGTGAAATCCGTTTTCAGCTCTCGCTTTTTCCGTGCGAGGTCTTCTAGTTTTACCTCCATGATGGCTCCGTGAAAACCATCCTCTGCTACCAATAGTTTGGAGTTGACAGGAGGGCATGCACATCGAAACCACGCCTTGTCAACGACCCGTTCTTTCTCAGTTTTAACGACCACACTCAGCCAAGAACAAAACAACAACGAAACACAACGACACACCAACGCTGATGTGGCATCGCAAATCCCGTACCGGGCCGTGCACGCAGGCATGGGTTGCAACAGAAAAAAGACGCGCTGCAAGCGTGCCAAGCAGCGAGTGAGTACAGAACGCGTACTAATGCCAGTCATGGCAACGGAAGATAAAATTATGGAGATCGACCCGCGCATGGTTCGATCGAGAGCAGAGTACGAAAAAAGCACACATTCAAAGTTCAAACTGTGCAACAGAAGCAGAAGAGGAAAACGAAAATGAACACTTGTCGTGAAGTGAAGTGCTTCTGTCCAAGGGTGCTTGCACCCGACGGGGTGACAGCGCCCCTAGTCAGACAATACAAGGCAAACGAAATAGAAATTAGCTGAGTCACAGCGCGGGACTCCGAAACGAAAACCGGTGAGTATGTAAATATTAATTGTTTCGTACCTGCTGTACAACGTAACAATTCGTAGCGTAATTTCAAACTAGCACTCGTAGAATTGTAGTGCGAATGTGCCACTCGATTATAGTAACAACGACAAAGAGATACTCTTCTAAACAGCCTGGATTTCAGTTGTTCCTGCACATACATAGCAACGCCACCACCCTTCCTGTGATCAGCTCGGTCCCGGCAATAGAGAGTGTAGGCTGGTATAGCAAGACCGCAATTCATCACAGTAGAGTCCAAGCATGTTTCACTGATTGCTAGCACATCGATTCTGTACTTTTGCGCAAGGAGGGGGCTAATCTTCTCGCAGAAAAGGGGGAAAAGGGGAGAAAAAGGGGGAAAAAGAGGGGGAAAAGAAGAGCGGGAAATTGAAAAAGAGGGGGTAAAGAATGGCGGGAAAAGGAAAAAGAGGGGGAAAAGGATGGCGGGAAGAATCCACCGTTTGAATGTGCATACATCTAAAGTGAGGCTATTTCCAGGCTCTGCACAAGTACACATCCACCACGGCCTCTCGCAGCCTCCTCCTCTTCCTCCCTCCCCCCCCCCCCCCATCACACACAATGTGCCGATTATCCTAATGTCAACTATCCAAATGATTAATTATCCAAAATAATTACTTGCATTTAATTGAGGGGTAGAAGATGAGTTTCAAGTTGTTGATTTTCGTCGCTCGGGGCACCATTGAAGCGATTCACAAGATGTATTACAACAGGTTTGAGTCAAAATGTGTAATAATAGTGTCATTAATTTAGAGGGGCACGAGTGCACCTAGTTCCTGTTGCACTGCTGAAGAGAATGAAAATGATGAAAACATGCTGAAATATGCATGATTTAGATAGATGTGTGACTGCTCTCTTATCCGAACATTCTTCTCATCTGAACCCTCTGGAGACAGCCCGCGTCCCGAGGGGTGGGGATAATCGGCACTCTCCTGTACATCTAATTCTATTCTTAAAAATTATATACATATTGTAGAGCTCTTTCTGCTGCCGGGAATGAGAAAACACATCCCAGGTAAGGATACGCCCCTCAAGGAAACACAGCTGGTGGATTCCAACAGTCAGGGGCGTCGCACACGGTACGGTCACTACGGTATTGACCGTACCACTTTTTGCCCCAGATACCCGTGAGTCAACAAAATACACTGATCTGGGGTATAAAATTCCAAAATTTTCGTCTCAGCCACCACTCCCCCACGAGTCAATTGTACTTCAGATGGCTGACCGTACCACACTAAGATACCTTCCGACGCCCCTGACAGTAGTATGAAACTCATACACAATCAATTAGAAATACTTTGGAGAATAAACCTTTGTTGGTGAAACAAAGTTGGGCGAGAGTATGATGTTCAAGTAAAACAATACTAAAGTGCCGTAACGTGAAGAAAGGAACGTAGCGCACAAGTTAACGAGAGAGCTTGGAAGCTCAGGGCCCTACGCTATGCTTTTTTTGCCTTGATGACCTAGACAAAAAAAGCATAGGGATGTTATAAATTCTTTAAAAATTCCTTTTTTTTTTAAGACATAACCTGGGATTCGAACCCGCACTATCGCGCACCCTGCATGCACCCCCCGATACACTTCGCATACATACTAATTCTTCCAAGTTGCTTCACATTGTGATCTTGCATTTGAAAGCCCTACTAGTATTTGAATATGCATTGTGGCCAGCCGTCTTTGATGGCACGGTACGGTAGGGGATAGGTACGGGACAGGTACGATCGACGGTAATACGACACCGTCTCCCGTACCGTACCGTACCATCAAACACAGCTGGCCACATATAGCTGCCAGCAATATTCAAATAGGGCTTTCAAACGCAAGATCATAACGTGAAGCAACTTGGAAGAATGGGTATGAATGCGAAGTGTATGGGGGAATGCATGTAGGGCGATAGTGCGGGTTCGAATCCCAGCATATGCCTGAAAAAATAGGAGAATTGAAAAATTTATAACGTCCCTATGCTTTTTTTGCCGTCAGATACGGATAGCGCCAGGCGTGACACAAACAAACACACAAATACCAAATTAAAGCTGTGTGGACCCTGGCTAGCGCCAGACGTTACTGAAGTAACGTCTTCTGCATAGCTACGGGAATGAAGATAAATTCACATACAGAACACAATATGCCCAGATACGGAAATTTAAGTCAAGATTAGCAGAATATACACACATGCAAACACACACACACACACACAAGCGTGTGCACACAAACGCAAACACACACACACATATACACACACACACACACACACACACACACACTGTTGGCTGCTATAATGCGATGGCAGCCTAGACAGAGGAAACAAAGTTTACACAAACAAATTCCTACTCTTTCTCTTTCTTTGTCTTCTTCTTCTTCCTCATATTCAATTCAAGGCAGGCTCTTCTATTTTTTTTGCTTCGGCCAACCTCGTTTTGGGATCTGACCCACTTTATTGGGGCAGTACAGGTACCCTGAACCTGAGAGTGTCCTTCTGATGTCATCGCTCTCCTACATTTTCTGCACGTCTATATTATTCTTTCTACGAGGACAACAGAAGGACAGAAACAAAGACATCCACACCATTTTTAAGACTGCATCTTCCAAAGAACACATCAAAAAGCAAATTCTACACACCAAGCATCGGTTCACGCCGTAACAAATCTCCACGCCATGAAAAATTCGATCGAATGCCTGGTGGGAGATGCTTTTTAAAAGGCTTGCATACATTTTTCACAAAAGACATTGTTGTGGCTGCCACCGGATTCGTACAAGAATATGTCAACTTCTAATCAAGGACTGTAATAAGTTCTGCCTTACGTATTAAAGGGGAAGTCTGCTGAATTTTTTTAATTTCAGGACCCGTAGAGTTTGGGGCGCTGAGTCGAATGTTCTTTTCCGAGGAGGCTGCGGTCCATGGTTCGTCAGATACGCCCAATCGAAAATGAGCGAAAGCGAGCACGCAGTCTACCTGATCCAGGTGATAAGGTCACAGTGTGCAGCCAGGTAGCCACACCATCTATTTGTGTGCAAAATGGCCAATATTCGAAACGCGTTCGATTTGAGAACCATCTGTCGCAGCTTCTTCGTACCAAGAGCATTCGACTCACTGTTACAAGCCCTACGTACCCTGTGATTTTCAGCTCGGCAAAATTTGAGGATACCCCGTTTTTAGCCGTTTCCGAGTTGGACTTTTTACATCCGCTGGCTTCTGCGTGCATGCCATAGTCAACAAACATACGGAACATTACACTACAGTACTGCCGGGCGCCGAAGAACGGGGTCAGAGTTCTAGCCTAGCCCGTTCTTATTTTTGGCGAACACAGCAGTTTCGTTCATATTCGATGGTACAGTCTTACATGTACATTTATGCAGAGTTATACGTCTGAGTGTACATCATATTCATATTGTACATCACGTTTCTACCTAGACCGTTCTTAAAAAATAGCGAAATCATAGCCTGGCCGTTCATCGGCGGTCCGTTCTTCGGCGCCCGGCAGTACTGTAGTAGTAGTAGTACATGACTACACCCGCACTGCTGTGCTAGCGCTACGCGAGTCGTGTGGTAGATCTAAAATTAATGTACAAGAGACTAGTCAATACACGGACGTGTCATGTACTGCACCCGGTATGTAGTTAGAGAAGGTGTGCTCCTCCGGGCCGGTGATTGTGCTTTGAGAAGGAAATATTTTAGTTTTCCGCTTGGAATAGTCCAGCCTCATTTATGCTACAAAGATGAGTCCACAACCGTGACAAGCGACAAAACCGCGAACAGCTCCCGGACCTAAAACGTTCAGATCCCGAAGTGTTGTGATCCTTGAATCGAAGAGTCGTGTCCGTGGTTCCAAGAACCTGCATTGTATATCCAATCGAGCAGCGTCCGAGCTATGTTTGCACCAAAAATCGTGAAATTTTCCACTGTATCATGGAAATGCCACACCCTACAGTCCCGCTGTTACCATATTTTACCGGTATAAGTCGACTTATTGAATTGAATTCAGTGCAAACAGGAATTTCGGATAATTGACCGTTTGGACAGTTGACATTCGGATAATCGGCATTCTACTGTAATCCTAGTGCATGCAATGAAACATACTTGACTGTTGGGAGTCTTGCTGCGTCAGTGCAAATTGGCAGTTAATGCTAGAAGCTGCAGTGAACAACATCACAAATAGAAAATAAAGAAAAGCAAATACAACTGAACTTTGATACTGGAAATTACAGATCTGCTGCCCGCATCCACATGTCCATATTCTACATGTGCGATTGATCCTGCAAGATCTTCACTGCCCGTCTAATTGAGGATGGCACCCCGAATAGAGCGGACCGCTTCTAAACCAATCAAAGACCCAGGTTGTTATACTCCAGCAACCGGGCAAAGACCTGTCACCCATCCATGACCCATCAGCCCATCTCCTTATGCTCACATTTTGGTGTAGTAGTTGAGCACCTGTCCTTCCTTCATCAAGTGGATATCCTAAGCATGTGACTTACCGCTGGTATATCTCTGCACATCCATCTTGACTGGTTGTCAAGTCCCTTTCCGGAGAGGTAGAGTGGATGGTAGGGTCAGTGCAGTCCTGGCCACGCCATGAGAAAGAAGACCATCAGGAGAAGGCCAACATCCTCCCTCTGGGTCGTGCCTTGATACCTGCAGTGCAGTGCAGTAACATTAAACTGCAATTGAAACTGTCTCCATGCCATTGTTAAGCCCAGTTCACATTCGACGGGGCGCAACGGGACGCGACATAAGGATCGACGGGAAACGCCGGGACGGTCACCCCGTCACGGACTGTGCCTTATGACTCGCACCATTCGCTGTTGAACATCGCAAAGACTGGAGCATGTCGTGTCGTACGAATTGTACAAGATTTTACAGCTCACCCCAGCCGTCACAGGCCCTTACGTCCCGTACCGTCAGCGTTGCGTCGAAAGAGAACAGGCTTTAGAAAGATTACGTGTTGGTATGTGCTCCTACTTACACACAAATATACAAAAGGTATATAAAGAGAAAGCATGATCCACCCCATCATTGACACCAACAGCCCGGCACAAGAGCAGCAGCACCTGCATTCTATTAACCCAAAGTTCATCTGCGAATATACTCACAGAGTCGTCTCCTTTACTGTGCCCGACCTTGGAAGAAAACAACACAGCAACGTAGTGTTGGTTTCGGTGAGGGCTTCTACGTTCACACGAACACACAGAAAAGCACAATATATTTCCAAACAGACGCCAACTAGTATAACCAAACAGCAACGACAACACCACAAAGACCTAACAGTCTCTTGAGCACAAAGTGTCTGGGATAAAAAAAAGAGCAGAACTTCACCATCGACACTGGTATTATAAAACTTTCTACAACTGCTGCAGAGGCAGCAGCAGGGTTCTAGTGCCCGGACCCAAAGCTCATCTGAGAATTTTCGCCATTGATACAAAGCAACGACCATGGTAGCAGCAGAGAGTAACAGCAGCAGCCGTTTGAGCAGCAGTATCAGCAGTCTCCAGCTTCAAGGGAGTGACCTAGCAAATTTTACAGTAACATGAAAAGTGCAACTGCACTCTTTCCGGCACCAAATATGCCATGCTGTCCCCCGCTGCAAAATAGAGGACAACTCTCAACTGTCGCCAACACCTTGGCCCAGAGGGAGTCTTTCCTTCGACATTCGCCCCGGCCAAAGAAGGTCAAAACCCAAGTGGTGTAATCATGTATCTGCTTCTCCTATCGAGACACTGACAAGGCTTGTATAGGCATGATAAATTGATAATACTGTATGCATATAACAAAGGCAAACGCACAAACTCACGTCCATGCACATGTGCACGGACGGTGTCGTTGGCGTACACACACACACACACACACGCGCGCGCGCTCACGCCCGCGCATGCACAGGACAAAGGCATGTGCAAAGGAGCATGCTCATAAAAGCACAGGACAGGCACACGACTGATCTATGGATGTATCACGACATTGAAGGGACGGAGCTTGCAGCAAGCCTTCACCCTCTGGAGATTCCTGAAATACATAAATACATGTCAGCAGTAAATAGTTGCAGCATAAACATTTCCACGGGGACTGTGCAGCTTCACTAACCTTAACTTCAGTCTCCCCAGAATGCAGAAGTCAGACAACGGCTACGAAGAGGTGCAGGAAATTTGAACAACTGTTTCAAAAGCAGTCCTCCAAGCCTTCTGCACCAACAGGTGATTCAGTTCGTGCTCTTATACCATCCTGGCAGTTAGAGACATTTTCTAATAACACGAAGAGCACAATCATCAAGGTGGGCAAATCCTCAAGAGAGAGTGCACCCTAACTTACACTACAAATCATTTACTGGACACTACTGGACAGAGCGTCCAGTCCATTCAGTCCAGGGGAGAAGAGGCAAAGGCATAGGGCTCCTGAGAAGATGAAAGGGCAACACATTATCATTACTACATTAATTTTATTATTGGGGGCAGACGTCTTCTCTGTAAAATATGAGGACGAAAGGCACATCAGTACTCACATCCCTGCTCATATCACTGCTCATCCCTGTCCTCTACGAGGGCAATGCATTTGGGGCTGAAACAAGTATACAGATAACTCGCAAACCGATCGTTTTATTAAGAGCGCAATCGATAATCGTTAGTGTTCAAAGCGAATGCAAACGATTTTTTATGCATGCATACCAGTGGCAGTATTCTAGCCCTTGCACTCCATCCAATTGTGGATACGAGTGAAATCGTGTACTTTCAAGCGCAGTAATATTGATGCGTAGCTATGAAAGAGATCGGGAGTCAAGACGGTATCTTTTCAATTGATTCGTTGCGGAAGTTGGTGATAAGAGCTTCAAGCCAAAGGGTGACGACAAGCCTGATTCTTCGTTCTAGAAACAACAACATGAACTCCTCTAGTTCATATTGATAAAGCCTAGTTCAAATTCGACGGGACGCGGCGTAAGGATCGATGGGAAGCGACAGGACGGTCTGACGGCGTCCAATGTGAACACCAGGAACGGGAACGCAACCGTACTACCGTACGGATCGGGAAGCGACGGGAAGTGTTGGATCAGTTCAACTTTTCATACCGTAGACGGGCATAGACGGAGACGCAAGCGTACAAAACGGCTGCATTTTGAGTGAGAACAGGAGGCGGCGTCGTGCGCCATCCACTCCCGATTCGTACTAGGATTTTTTTAGGATTTCGAACACTGCGCTTCCCATGATAACTCGCAGAATGGCTAACACGACTTGAGTTGAATTTTAGCAAGATAAGATCTCATGTCCAATATGGTATTTAGGGATAGTTTAGGAGAATGACAGATGAACTGTTTTATCATTTCCTAGGGCTACTATTCGAATGGCACAACTTTCAGGGCTACTTTTTTTGTCTCCATGAAAAACTGGTATTGTGAACTTGATTTCGCTTCATTCAAAAAGAAATAATTGAAAAGAAGTCCCGAAAAACAAGAAATTAGGTCCGAAAGTCACCCCGTCACGGACTGTACCTTATGACTCGCGCCGTTCGCTGGAGAACATCGCAACGACTGCAACATGTCGTGTCGTACGAATCGTAAAAGATTTTACAGCTCACCCCAACCGTCCCGACAGGCCCTTACGTCCTGTACCGTCAGTGTTACGTCAAATGTGAACTAGGCTTTAGACCAGTCAGATGTCTACAGGTGTCGACACAATTGCCTGAAATGTTTACAGAATACCAAACACTGAGCGGTAGCCTGGGTATAGAGTGTTTGACTGGTGGCCACAGCTAATGTAGCAAAGGCATCATGGAATTTCTTCATAGTCTTGTACTCGAGGTGCACGACTACAGCCGGAAAGAATCTATAATTATGAACCAACAATTATAATTGATCTCAATGTCTCAGTACTCATACTCCTTGTCAGTTTTGTGCTAGATTGTGCACGTCTGACTATTCGAAATCTGGTTTAGTTGGTGGACTCGATTGCATAGCTTGTGCCCACATTTTTCTATGTCACAATTATATTCATCACTAAAGAGATTGGTTGATCGCGCGCTTGGAGTTATTGAATGATCGTTTCAGCCCTAATTTATTTTCACCCTGGCCACAGCACTAGGCGAAATTCTCTGACACGGCCTTTACCTGCATCCACTGCTCTTTTGCATCACGACGAAGGACATGCAGGGGTTCTCTCTGAGCAGAGGAAAGTAGCCATCGCCACCACCACCATCACCATTCACCGACAATACTAGAGAGACTATTTTCCCCGTCGTGGGTACTTCCAATAAAGTAATTCCACTTACATAGGTACCGTCAGCGGCGCCACCATGTAACTTGTTCCCAACAGTGTATTCCTATCGTGGGTACTTCCACGGGCAATAAATTCGGCTCGTGCTGTCACTCGCAAGCCATCATAATAATAATTCCTATACCTTCCTTGCGGGAATTGCCTCTGCAAACAAAATTATTTCAATGATTGGATTAATTCAGTTCTTTTCGTTCGTGCACGTCACGCCGGGTGCACTGCGCGCGGCCCATCTCCGCCCGTACATTGTTTCATCTTGTTTCATCTTGTTTCATCTTGTTTCATTCGCGGCCCATCTACGCCCGTACTTCGAGTTTCATTTGGTTTCATCTTGTTTCATCTTGTTTCATCTTGTTTCATTTTGTTTCATTTCGTTTCATCTCGGCCCCATCTGCGCCCGTACATTGGCGTTTCATCTTGTTTCATCTTGTTTCATCTCGTTTCATCTCGTTTCATCTTGTTTCATCTGTTTCATCTGGGGGGAAGACGGGCCCGTCAACCTTGCGCATTATACAATGGATTTCGTGAGTTTTATTTCTTAGGCTACCGATGTTGATGTGGGCGATGGTTAAGCTCTTGATGGGTGAAGACGGAAAATCAGGCACTGTTTGACTATGAATGTCTCCATGCTGCATGTTCATGTGACTGCTACTCATTTCTATTACGTAGGCAGGGAATGATACATCACCATGGCTGGCTTACAGAAAAGGTCAGTGTGCTTTAAACACATTGTGTCTGGTTTCCGACACTCCAGTTCCATCATACATTTTGTTCATCATTTCTGCTTGCTGTATTGTCAGACATTCGACGCAATTCAAGCAGTGCAAAGCTTGTTACTCGGATAAAACAAGAGGTCCTCAGCACATATGGGAGCATCCTCCAGGCATTATCGGATCTTCAAGTCGTAAGTTAATTGCAGTGTTGCTGCCAACATGACGAGACCACATGTTCACAGTCCCAAAATTCACTCTTGACCCGAAAACTGATGGAAAAAGAGCCTCTCAAATGTTGACAGAAGCACCAAAGATTGTGCTGCATCTGTAACTGTATAGCAGTATGGTTGAATAGTCTTGTGATGAAACGAACACAATTTATCAGTAATGGAACGTTCTTGACGCTAACGAAGGAACGAACGAATATTCTTTATTGATAACTCTTGGTACTGCAACTCCCCGTGTTGGTGTCTAGCGCCTGTGTTGAATCCTGGTTGTAATAGCACTGCAAAACTAGACATGACAAGTCTGTGTAGGTTCACTTCCTGTGATCGGTTACACCGAGGATGCCCTCTTCAGTCGAGGACTCGAGGCACGACGTACTTGTGCGGAGTGTGTACATTCTACCTTCACACAACAGCGCTGAAGCACGAATGTCGCACTTGTACACACTAGCACCAGGGAGTCGTCATATCTTTGACGACTCCCTGGCTAGCACCTTGCCTGTGGGCTGTCTGTGCGTGGCCAGCAAACTGAAAATTTTCAGTTCGAATATTCGTCACCTCACGAATGTTCGATTATTTGGAATATTCATATTTCAACGCTATTGAACACATTCATATTACTGTACACATCGGGGAAAATTGACCATTGTTGGTTGTGTGAAAGAGGTATCCTTATGTGGATGAAGATTGTTCAGCAGCGCTGAAAGAGTATGTGATGAATATGGATGCTATAATGTGTCAAACAAAAGTGTAAATATCAAACCTGACAGTCAGTTCTACACACACACACAGTAAACCTTCAGTATGATCATAGTGCACTGCCTGGATATACGATGGTATGGGGTATAAAATACTATTTTGTTAAACTTAGAAGTTGCGACTTGGGCGGTAATAGTCATGAAGTTGATTGTTCCAACTAGGAACACACGCTTCTTGCCGAACTTGACACTTGACTGACTCACGACTGCCATCCGGAGCACACGGGAAGCACGTCGCACCTTCCACTCGGCAAACCTGCAAGAAAGCACCACTCCCTGCTCAATACACAGTGTTTCGAGGAATTCACCCCTCATCAGTTGAGCTTGAGTAGGCTGAGGAAGATTGTGCCTGAAAAGCACCACTTATATACTGCTCTCCGGGCCAAACCATCACCAGGGATACAAACTTACAGAGACGCTTTGTTTCCAGCGCGACAAACACCTCGTGAAGCTCCAGGTAGCAGTGTGAGTCAGAATCGCTCATGGAGTTGTGCTAAACAGACGTTGAGAGCCAGTATAGCTATTCGCAACGCTGTCACCTCCAACAAATAGTCGCACGTCCGCGTGAGGGACAACAATACGAACTCGTGTGCTCCGGTTGGCAGTCGTGAGTCAGTCAAGTGTCAAGTTCGGCAAGAAGCGTGTGTTCCTAGTTGGAACAATCAACTTTATTTTGTTAAAGTAAAGTAAATTATCGTGTCCGTTCCCAAAGGGAACTCACGACGGCCGCTTACACCCGGTAAACCCGAGCGGCTGTTTTTGTTGCTGATGCATAATGCTACAGGAATCATTTGTCCTCAGGTAATGTTGTACAGTACCCCGGACATAAATCACAGATTTGTATGCCCTTGCAGTTAAGTTTCATGTATACTGAGGTTGTACTGTATTGTGTTCAGTTTCACATTATTTCTATCACAGTGTAATCGGCCTTCTCCTTTTCCCTACAGGTTGTGACCAATTCTGCTCAGAAAATGCTATCATGGAGCTAGACATAACCTTGCATTGCCCTGCAAGCCATCTCTGAAACGTTTGAATATTTTCGGAGCAATGTCACAGTCCCATCTGCCACCCATAGCACTCTCCAGAGTGTATCAGTCTATGCACAGTAGTCGCACGTCACCGCATAATCCATGCACAGTAGTCGCACGTCACCGCATAATCCATGCACAGTAGTCGCACGTCACCGCATAATCCATGCACAGTAGTCGCACGTCACCGCATAATCCATGCACAGTAGTCGCACGTCACCGCATAATCCATGCACAGTAGTCGCACGTCACCGCATAATCCATGCACAGTAGTGGCACATCACCGCATAATCCATGCACAGTAGCCTATACACTGTAACCACACTCCATCCTATGACGGTCTACACAGCATATTCTTAGTTTTGCTTGTATCATGTGAGTGCACAATGTCTGCTCATAGTCTCACACCAGCAAACACACTACAGTAGCTTCATTAGAAGAAAAAAAGATAATATACACAATCGGGGTTTTTTTCTTCCATTTCTAAAAGCTATTCACTTTATTTCAATTTCGCACCACTCTCGCAGAATCTCAAAACCTTCAACGGTGTTTAGTTTTAGCCTGCCTATTCTTATGAATATGTTTGCTTCATTTTGATTTCGTTTTCTATCGTTTGAGGCGGTGCAATTCGTATATCTTGTGTTGAAACTGCTGTCGTTTGTTTCTTTGCACCTATCGGTATTGCAGGAGCATACATAGGAAGTACAATGAACAGTTTGGCGACAAGGAGACAAACTTTAATCCGAATCGATAAATGATATGCACAGTCATTCTATGCAATCATGCATCTACACACATCACCCATGGAACAGTTTGTGGGCTCAAGAGCCCGGTCACACATGCACTGGAGTTCCACTTCGGCAGCGAGGTTTTGCGACAGCGAGCCTGGTGCCTCTCCAGCGAAACCACTTGCAGATGGTCACACATATGGCTGCGTTTACATACAAACAGGTCAAACTCCTACTTTGGCGGAGAGGGGAGTGAAGTGGACTGTGGTCCATACGGTACGGAAAATAGACGAGGTCAATGACTATCTTGCACGCATCATTTTTTTTGTTTTGTTGCATGGAATTCATACACATACAAATGTCTCGTAGCAAGTCCAAATTAGGGAGGTTTTGCTCTACAGAATTACGTATAAAAATAACGTAGGAACTGGACGTAATTTTCATACGTAAAAATCTGCGCTGTTGGGTTTCGCTCTACGTGATTTCTCCACGGCTGCTAAACATGCCTTGTTGCTTTGGAAACGCATTGGCTGCATGCGCCCACCGCATATACTATGAACCGAAACCGCGTTTTCCATTTTATTTTGCACGTGGTGTACATGGTGTACATGGTGTACGGCATGTGTACCTTGTGTTTCGCGCGGCTTGAACATTGCCATGCATGAATCCGGAAAATTCGAAAATATTTCAAAAAGTCCTATGGATGACCCAACGTAGGAAAGAGCTTTCCTACGGAAATCCGAGAGAGATTTACGTATGAAAGTTGCCCTCGCTCCCCGGCGCGTACGACATACGGATTTTCATACGTAATTACATAGAGCGAAACCTCCCTAATCGTCGTTTTTTCCGATGAAGCGAAACCGCAGAGTGCCGCTCCCAAACGTTTTGGAGGCAGCGGGTTTGAGTTTCCACTGCAATGGTAGTTCCGCTTCTCGCAGTTGCCATGGTATTTCTGCACCTGCGGCGTCGCTTCAGCGGAACCGCTATTTTGAGTGCATGTGTGACCATGGTGACCGGGCCCTATGACCGTTTTCTTTTGACGGCCATCAGTAAGAGGCCAGGGAGTAGCCCTTTCCCAAAGGTGCTCTCTTAATTTGCACTTAGTGCTTTTCGCGTCCCTCAAAATATGCTGAAAAAGTGCTCTTTTTTCAGTGAAAACAGGCAAAAAGTGCTCTTTTTTCAGTGAAGCATAGCCATGATACATGTTCAGATATGAACCCAAGCTGAGAATTGAATACGCACTCTTCCATTTATGGGTCCACGAAAGGCAAAACAGGAAGTAAAGTAATAATATTACAAAAAAATGTATTATCTACGCATGCATCTACGCAAGCGTCACCACCAGCCAATTAGGACATGTGTCAAAGTATTGAACGTTTTCGTTCCCTTCAAAATACTACAGGGAATACTACAGTTCCTCGTCCAGCAGCTGGACGAGGAACTAGAACGACTCTTAACCATAATGACAAAGAATGGCTATCCAAAGACACTTTTAATGAAACTCATCAACCAGAAACCGACCTTGGAAAAGACGATTACTTTTGGACCAGAGAGATGCCCTGTGGTACTACGTTTGCCATGGGTTGGTGCTGGTTCTTCGCGCGTCGAGAAGGAGGTGCGGAATATTGTTTGTTCCTCTTATCCGTGTGTCAAATTGTATGTCATCTTTGGGACGACCCGTGCGTTCAGCGTGAAGAAGGACGTTCTACCTACCCTAATTATTATTATTATTAAAACCATGTCCGCGTAGGTGGCGGGGGTGCCACTTTCGCTTATGCCATTCAGGATTGATGTCTGAAGAGTAATACGATACAATAAAATGACAGAAGTGACGTCAACAAAAGCCGTTAGCAACAACACCAATATGACTAATGGAAAACTTCATCCAAAGTATAAAATAAAATAGAATATGCATACAACATGTCTGGTCAGTCCTGTTAGGTGGGGCGGGCTCCACGCCATGCCTGTCGGTCCGCTGCCATTGTGCGGACTGCGTCAACATCTAGCGGCTGGTGGAGGGTAAGTCCATGCCATGATAACAGTTCCGTCTGCAAGACCGTTACCAAAGTCGTCCGAGGTCGACCCCTGAAGCGTTCAGTGCCCTCGTCGTTGGCCAGGCGAAGATACATATCCACTGCCAACTGTGGAGGAGCAGTTGGGGCCAAACGAAAGATATGGCCAGCGAGACTGTAGCGCTGCCTTGTGATCATCTCGCTGATGGGGACAGCTCCGCAGCGCTTATACAGAGTGTCATTGCTAATTCGTTTAGGGTACCGCATGTCGATGATGCTCCTTAGCTGGGTCCTGTGGAACGAATCCATTCGCGCGAGCTCCGACATCGGTAGGCCCCAAGTGCCGCAGTTGTAGGTAAGGACTGGGATGACGTAGGCGCTGTAGAGCCTCAGCCGAAGACCTTCACTGATCTGGCGCCTCCGGGTCCAGATCTTGAGGAGTGAGTTGAAGGCGGCGGCGGCCAGTTGACGCCTCCGAGCAGCATCTTCGGCGTCACCCAGGAGGGAGCCTAGTTTGCGGACAGTACGCCACGTTTCTTGGTTCCTATCGGGAAATCGGGCGACGGTGGTATGCTCTGTCTTGGAGGGATTAACGTTCAGGTTCCATCTCGCAAGAACTGCTGGAGCTTGTTGTTCAACTTCACTGAGAAACGTCTCATCCCGGCTCACAAAATCAACATCGTCCGCGTATGCGATATCCAACGGCAGGTCATTGTCCACAGCAGGGCGAGATGGCAGCTCCTGTCGTAGGTCCCGGAGAGCAGCCTCCAGGTAAATGGTGAAAAGCACTGGAGAGAGACTGTCCCCTTGAGGGACTCCGATATTTGTCTTGAAGGAGCTTTTCGATGCACCTTTCACACGAGGTTCAAGCCAGGTTTCAGTCAACAGTATACGGATCATTCGGAGCTCACTTTCTTGGAGGAAGGATTCAAGGATCCTCATCAGGACATCGCGGCGGACAGTGTCGAATGCTTTACTCATGTCAATTCCCAATATGTGGATGGACGTATTGAATCGCTGCATCATACTACATAGCCATCTATGGCACCACACCACATCACTTGTGCTGCGGCCACGACGAAAAGCACTTTGGGATGTAGCCAGGTACTGATCAACCGCTGGCTGTATCCTCTTCAGCACAATCAGGGACAGCGTCTTTCTCAACGCCGAGAGCAGTACGATAGGGCGCGTACTAGTAAGCGGCCCTAGTGGTTTACCGGGCTTCTGCAGCAGTATTAGGGTTCCTCTGCCAACTTCGAGTGGGTCATGTGTCTCAATAGCTCGGTTCAAGATGTCGGAAGTCATCTCAGCGACAATGGGAGGACTGTACTTGAGTAACTCTCCGGAGAAATGATCAGGGCCTGCCGCTCTCCCGTTATTCAGGCTTTGGAAGGCCCTCCTAACTTCGGCCGATGTGATTCGATTGGGGAGAGGGCTGGGATCACCTAGGAATTGTGGAATGTCAGGGAGGGATTTATCATGGAATTGGCTTTCATAATGTTTGATGATGAACGCCTGCTGGTCTGCAGGGTTGATAACGACCCGCTGCTTCTCATCATGAATAATAGGCTGGCTGTACGGTTTTCGCTTCAGTAGCTGGACAGCACGGAACATCTTTGCCCCACTATCATGCAGTCGCTCCACTTCCTCTGCTTGACAATCCAAGGCTCTCTTGGCATTGTCAGATGCGATATCACGAATTTCATGCATTGTGCGATTTCTTTGATTTTTTAGTGACTGTCTTTTCTGGTCATCCCTGCACTCTCCAATCGCCAGGCGAAGATCTTTCTGCTTGCGTGACAGCAACTCAATTTCAGGGGAGAAGTCATGGCGGTGATGTTGTCTCTGCTGAGTGCCGGCCGAATCCAGTGCTGATTTGCTGAGGACTTCAGATAAGGATTCCCAGACTGCTTGGGTGCTGTTGGCTTCTGATGACACGCTGCACTGGACCTGGGTCTCCACAGTTCTCTTGTAGGATTCCCGAATTGCGACATCTGAAGCAAGCTTTCCAGTGTCAGGGCGGATGTTGCCGGCAGTGGTCTTGCGTTGGTGATTACCCAGAACACCATAGAATCTCGACATGTCCAGTCTCGCCACAACTAGGCGATGGTCGGAGAATACATATGTTCCCGCATACGACCTTGCGTCTGTCAGAAGGGGACTCTGGTTCTGACGGCAGCAGATGTAATCTATCATATTGTAAACAGGAACACCTTTGCGTTGGTGATTACCCAGAACACCATAGAATCTCGACATGTCCAGTCTCGCCACAACTAGGCGATGGTCGGAGAATACATATGTTCCCGCATACGACCTTGCGTCTGTTAGAAGGGGACTCTGGTTCTGACGGCAGCAGATGTAATCTATCATATTGTAAACAGGAACACCGTACCCTAAGCAAAAGTAATTTAATCTATTTCTTTCAGTGCCGAAATTGTGAAAATCGGTACGTAGATAGAACCTTTCAGCACCTGGGCGCACGGATTCGTCAACATGTACCGTTGAATCTTGTCCCTGTAGCTGCACGTGGTTCTCGACCTCGGCGTGGCCGTCCACCGAAGTGTCCAGTGCAGTCTGTGTCTGAGGTGGACTTGTCCAAGTCCGCTGTGGATACGCTTGCCGACGCCTCCTCCTTTTCGTCGGGCGGAGGGCTGGAGCCAACCCAAACAACAGTCAACAAGAAGAAGAGACCTATACGGAAACCACCGAAACTGACATCTGGACAATCGAGCCCCGGACGAGTCACCAGAAGTCAATTGAGGAGACGAATTGATGACGAATCAAAAGAACCAATACTGGAAGTGACAACAACGGTTAATGTGAAGAAACGAGGTAGACCACGGAAGCAGGACAGACTGGACGTGGAGCAGCACACTGATCTCGACCGAGGCAATCGGAATTGCAGGGACGCAGGGCGTAATGGGAGAGATT